AAATGGAAGCAAACATAAGCAGAACAGAGTTCTTTAGATATGGGTTCCATCATTCTCATTTACTTAGTTCTTAAATTAATGACAGAAACAACAGAGATCCATGCTTATTAATTCCAAACTAAGAAGTACATTATCATGGTGATTTAGGGTTCATAGCCGGCTAAATTATACAAATTCAAACTGAACATTTTCAGAAGTTAATCATACCATAGAAATGGCAGAGAAATAAAAAGATGGACACAGGGATCGTCTGGCTATCTGAAGTCCGAACGAGATGACTGGAATGCCTTGATTACTTTTTTAAGACGTTGCGTCTGGTTTTTGGAGAGAGAGTCCTCTTCTTCTGTGCTGGAAGCTCTTTATTTATAGGAGCAGAAGAGGCCTTAAGTGATGATGACTGAGCAAGGATATCTGCCTGTTGTCCAAAGTCAGCTTGCTGATTTGACGTCCTGAACTGGTCCATAGAAGGGGAGATCGACCTTTCTGACGAGAACCGCCGGTTCTTCGAATTGGCTTCTTGGTCTGAAGCGTCTTCGTCCTTGGCGATTTGATGTGCAAGTTGGCTTCTGGCTTGGTGGCTTCCTTCGGCGGCTTGCTTTTCTTATTGGAAGAGAGAAAAGTCAAATCGTCATTTAATGTTGATGTTCCTTCTCTAATCTCGCGTGGGTTTGGAACAGTTTCCGATTTTTTCACTTGTCAGTGGTCCAATCCTTTTGGGCCTTCTGCTCTTGGGCCTCAGTTTTGGTTATTTCGGTGTTTGTTACAAATCAGAAAAAGTTCTTTGAAGAAAACACCTCATAAACAATTATTGGGCTTGGGCCCTTGCCACATTCTTTTTTCTTTTTTTTGTGGGGAAGTAACCAGTTTTGGTCCATTGACCAAAATTGGGTACAAACACTATCTTCAGACTTTCGCCCAGATCTCTTCCAACTCCTACGTCCCCCTGTGCGAAACAAGCTCCAAACAGAGCTTCGCATGAGCTCATCTGAGCACTACCTACTCCTGAGTACTTATCAATCAACTCTTTCGCTTCTGCTAAGTAACCGCCTCTGCCAAGCATATCCACCATGCATGCCACATGATCCATTTCAGGAGAAATCCCATAAACTGACCCCATGGTTTCAATAACCACGCGACTTTCCTCTATAAGCCCATTATGACTGCAAGTCATCAACAGACCAATGAAGGTCACACTATCTGGTTTTACTCCATTTTCTACCATCTCTTTAAAAACCCGTAGAGCTTGGGTAGCTTGCCCATGCAATCCAAATGCAAACAACATAGCATTCCAAGGTACCAGATCCTTCTGGAAAATATCATTGAACGCATGGACTGACCCTTGTAAATCCCCACATATAGCAGACGTGTTAACTAAGCTATTCCCAATAAAGACATAAGCATGAGAGCCATAGTGAAGTATGCAACCATGAACCATTTTACCATGTCCAAGTACTGCCAAGCTTGAGCATGCATGAAGGACAGCTTCGAATGTGATATCATCTGGTTGGACACCACTTCTCACCATATCCACAAAGAAGGTAGTAGCTTCTTCCCCATATCCATTTCCTGCATACCCTGAGATCATAGATGTCCATGATGTTATTATTTGAAAGGATTTTAAATTTTAACGTTTTATTTTCTGATTTAATTTTTTGGCTGTTTTCTTTTATTTATTATAGGAGTTACAAATTGTTTAATTTTCAGTTTTTATTTTCTATTCATTGCCTTAATTTTTCTGATTAAATGTGTCTGGAGGTTACGAGTGTTGGATGTTTATAAAAGGCCACTCCTCCTTCACATTTCAACACACCACAATCAGATTTCTCTATTCTCATACTTTCATATATTCCCTACTTTTCGTATTATTTTTGGGCAACGGTTATGTGGCTTGGAAATGTCTATCCGACTGTGAACGTGCTCATAGTGGACCTTAAGCCTGCATATTGGGGTCGTATCTTGGAGTCTTGTAGACCGTCATTACCTGCACGTAGGGGGGCTACAAAGACTTTAAGACAGCGTCTTTGATGTGCTTTCACTATACCAGGCTTGCTTTCTTAATCTTAACTTATTTTATTTATTTATTTGTTTGTCTCTTTATTTTACTTTACTGTTTAAGCTTTATTTTATACATTATTTATATCTAAGTATTTGAATAAGAATTTTATAGAAAAAGGAAAACACAATTTTTAATAACAATCTAAAGCCTTTGTAAGTTAAAATTATTCTTACTCAGGGATTCGATCCCTGCTCTCGTATGGCGTCACCACTTTGGTCAGCACTTTACCCCTTACGGGCCGACCCGGTGTGAGCGGGAATTAGTCTGGGTTGTGGTTAAGGCTTAAAGGTGCCACCCATAGTTGGGGCCCATCCAGGAGCACCTCGTGGTTCAGACCAAAAAATAAATAAATTATTCTTACCATATTTGTTGTTGCCATAAGTTTCAATTTAATTTTCTTCTTATAAAGCTAAAATAAAATTAATTTAAATAAATAAAGAAATAAAAAAGGGCACAGCCACACGTTTTCAAATCAAGACTTCAATCCAACTTTAAAGGAAAATTTTAAAACGAAAATTAAACTTTTGGTCTGTACGTTTTAAAAGATATTCAAAACCTTCAAATATCTTGAAAGTTTTCAAACCAATATTAAACCTTTAGTCTCTACGTTTTTAGATATTCAAAACCTTAAATATCTTTATATATATATAAAATAAAAATAAAACTAAATTTAAGTACACCTTCGAAAACTTAATAACGTATTGGTTTTAAAATTACTATTCAAAACCAAATTAAGTATACTGTTGGTTTTTTTATTTTAAAAAAAAATCACAATTTTAAAAAATTTACAAAAAAAACAAATAGGTCTGAACGTTTGTCTATACCATTTTTAATAACAATTTTGAATCTTTAATAACAATCATTATACTATCTTGGTCTAAACATTTGGCTCTTAAAACAAAATTCAAAATCCTATTAAAGTTAGTATTTAAAAGTAAACAGTAACCGAAATTAATGATCATTGGTATGTTTATAAAACAATAATAATAATAATAATAATAATAAAGTTAGATATCTTGTCATAAACTTGGCACATTTTTTTTCTTTAAGTTATTTTTTGTTTACCAATTGTTTTATTATTAAATCTCAATTTTATTACATTTATATACCAAATTTGTTGCTTCATTATTGTTTATTGGAATTGAGATGGATAGTGTAGAAACCAATAGCGTTAAACCTGGAAAATTTAATGGGACAAATTTTAAGAGGTGGCAAAGACAACTTAAATATTGGTTAACTGTTTTAGGGTTAGTTTCTGCCTTAGAAGATCAAACCACACCCAATAAAACTACTGAAACCACTTCTAAAACTAAGGAGAAGATGACAAAAGAAGAATTAGAATATCATTGCCATAACAGAATCCTTAATGCTCTCTCCGATTTATCAAGATACAAATAATGCAAAAACTTTGTGGGATGAATTAGAAGCTGAATATGGAATAGAAGATGCGGGAATAGATCATTTTACAATCTCAAACTTTAATAACTATATGATGGTTGAGAATAAAACTGTAAGTGAACAAATTCATGAGAACCAAGATTTTTTAAGGAAAATAGAACTTAAGGGTACAAAGTTTAGTGAAGAATTTAAAGTTTCTTGTCTCATTGATAAATTACCCCCAAGTTGGTCAAACTTTGCAAAAACACTTAGGCACAAACAAGGAGATTTAACCTTAACCCAAGTATTAAACTCCCTTAGGATTGAAGAGAAACATAGATCAAACAACAAGCCTAAGGAGGAAAAGACAAACGTGAACCTAGTGGAAAGTTCAAACAATAGGAATCATTTCCAATCTAGAAGGAAATTTTTCAAGAGGACAAACAAAAATAGCCAACCCAACCATAATCAATTCAACCAAAACCAAAACCGCCAGCACAATAGACCCCATAACAATTCCAATGGTAATATGAATCAACCATGCTTCTTTTGTGGGAGAACAAATCATTGGGCCAAAGACTGTCATTACAAGAAGACCGAGCCCTACAAGCCAAAGCCTAAGTAGAACAAAGGACAAAAGGGTCCCAAAGCCCAAGTGAATGTGTTGGTGGATCAAGATGATCAAGGGTTTAAGCCTCTAGTTAATGTCGCATATTTAAGTAATAGTGATTGGTGGTTAGATTCTGGGGCAAACGTACATGTGTGCTTTGACAAATGATTTTTCAAAAATTACCATAACTCAAGTGGAATAAGTGTAACCCTAGGAAATGACAATGTCGCACAAGTACGTGGAATAGGAGAAGTGGAATTGAAAAGATGATATATGGGAAGGCTCTAATTCTCAAGGATGTGCGACATGTTCCTGACGTGAGGAGAAACCTTATCAGTGGATCGTCCTTAGTAAAACAAGGATACAAAATTCTAATGGAGTTGAATAGGATCGTTATTACTAGAAGCAATGTCTTTATTGGAAAAGGATATGTTTGTGATGGATTGTTCAAAATAAATGTAGTTTTTGAAGATAATAAAATTTCTCCTCAAGTTTTCAATGTTGAATCTTGTAATGTATGTCATGGAAGGTTAGGACGTGTAAATTTAAGCAAAATCAAAACATTAATGGATCTTGAGCTAATCCCTAAGTGTAACATAGACCTTAAGCACAACTTTGAAGTGTGTGTTCAAGCCAAACAAACTAGGAATTCCTTCAAACCTGTAGAGAGAAACACCCAAATCTTAGAGCTCATACATAGTGACGTGTGTAATTCAAATAGGTCTCCTACTAGAGGTGGAAACAAGTACTTTGTGACCTTTATTGATGACTTCTCTAGGTATTGCCATATTTATCTTATTAAGACAAAAGATGAGGTGTTTAATAAACTCAAGATTTACAAAAATGAGGTAGAGAATCAATTGGAGAAAAAGATTAAAAGATTTAGATCTGACAAAGGTGGGGAGTATACCTCAAATGAGATTGGAGTGTTTTGTGAAGAACATGGAATTATACATGAAGTTACTCCACCATATTCACCTCAATCTAATGGAGTGGCTAAAAGGAAAAATAGAACCCTGATGGATATGGTAAATTCTATGCTTCTTAGTAGTTGACTACCTGAGAACTTGTGGGGGGAAGCAATGCTAACTGCTTGTTTCATACTCAATAGGATAACATTGAAGGATAATGAGAAAACTCCTTATGAGTTATGGAAAGGAAGATCACCTACCCTTAGAATCCTAAAAGTGTGGGGGTGTTTAGCTAAGGTACTCATACCCAATCCTAAGAGAAAGAAAATAGGTCCTAAGACTATAGACGCAGTTTTTCTCGGTTATGCAAAAAATAGCAGTGCCAATAGGTTCTTGGTGTTTAATTCTGAAGTAAAAGAGGTTGCAAACAACACAATTATGGAAGCTAGAGATGCTACATTCTTTGAAGATATTTTCCTGTATAAAACAAGAATTTCTAAGGAAATACAAATAAGTGAGAAACCTTCTAGCTCAACTACGATCGAAAATTTAGAATCTCAAGAACTTAGAAGAAGCAAAAGAGCAAGAGTTGAGAAGAACTTTGGAGATGATTTTTATACCTTTCTAGTGGAAGGAGATCCCACTACTTATAAGGAAGCCATTATGTTTGTGGATGCACCATTCCGGAAAGAGGCTATAAATGATGAGTTTCAATCGATAATCCAAAATAATACATGGATGTTAACGGATTTGCCTGCTGGAAATAAAGCGATAGGGTGCAAGTGGGTTTTTAGGAAAAAATTGAATATTGATAAGTACAAAGCAAGATTGGTAGCTAAGAGTTTTACACAAAAGAAAGGGATAGATTATTTTGATACTTACTCACCTGTTTCTAGGATTACCACCATAAGGACTTTGATAGCTTTAGCATCTGTGCATAATTTAGTGATTCATCAAATGGATGTAAAGACGGCATTTCTAAATGGAGACTTAGATGAAGAGATCTATATGGAGCAACCAGAAGGATTCATAGTTAAGGGCCAAGAACACAAGGTATGCAAGCTCCTAAGGAATGACATGAGAAATTTGACAAGATGATTCTAGATTATGATTTTAAGTTTAATGGTCATGATAAATGCGTTTATTATAAAGAGAATAATGGAGAACATGTAATCTTGTGTCTTTATGTTGATGACATTTTGATCTTTGGGACGAATTTAGAGATTGTGAATGATGTGAAGTCATATTTATCTAGGAATTTTGACATGGAAGATATGGGAGAAGCACATATAATCTTAGGAATGAAAATTGAGAAGACAACACTTGGAATTTCTCTAAGTCAATCTAGTACTATTGAGAAGATGTTGAAGAAGTTCAATTACTTTGAGTGTAAGCCCACACCAACACCTTGTGATCCCAATGTTCATTTAAAGAAAAATCAAGGTGAACCATTTTCTCAGCTGAAGTACTCCCAGATGATAGGTTCTTTGTTGTACATTGCAAATAAGACTAGGCCAGACATTGCTTATGTTGTTGGAAGATTAAGTAGGTATACACATAACCCAAGCAAGGAACATTGGAATGCTTTGAAAAGAGTTTTCAAGTACCTAAGAGGAATAATGGATTATTCATTGTGCTATAAAGGTTTTCCAAATGTGGTAGTATTCACTGTGCTATAAAGGTTTTCCAAATGTGGTAGAGGGATATAGTGATGCAAATTGGATAATAGACAATGAAGAAGTGAAGTCTACTAGTGGTTACATTTTCCTACTGGGTGGAGCTGCAATTTCATAGGGTTCTAAGAAGCAAACAATTATTTCTAGAAGTACTATGGAGTCTGAACTCATAGCTTTGGATATTACTTGCACTAAGGCTGAATGGATTAAGAGTTTATTGATGGATATGCCTCTGGTGGAGAAACCATTGCCTGCTTTATCTATTCATTGGGACTACAAGGCTACAATAGACTTGGTGAAACAATCTCATACAAATAGGAAAATGAACAGGCACATACATGTGAGACATAAATCTGTGAAGAGCCTATTAAGTAAGAACATTGTGTCTTTGGAGTATGTGAAGTCGGAGAATAATATTGCTGACCAATTGACTAAAGGTCTTTCTAGGAGCAGAGTCCTAGAAATGTCGAGGGGAATGGGTTTAAGCCCATAAGGGAGTCACCTAGGGAGGTAACCCAACTTTTGTGATTGGCGTTCCCATGAAGGAAGTTCAATGGGTAGAAACCATCCATACTGCGTGACTCATTGAGCACTGTTTATATAATGTGGAGGCATCCTAGAGATGTCCTCATGCTTATCCCTACGACATCAGTGCTATATAATGTGACATTAGGAAGGGAGTTATCCCTGAATGAGTTTCGAGGCGGGCAATCTCCCATAGGGTGCAGGTCACATTTACTCTTGGAGAACTCACCTAAGTGAGAGACGTCGTGAGGCTGCGATTGTGAGAATTGGGCTATTCTCTAGCAACTCTCATGAGAATCAAGATTAGCGCATGACCATAAATAGCGTTACCCCGCTTCCAAACCTCAACCAATACTATGTGTGGGATATGTTGAAGTTTGGTCAAAGGTGCTGAGTTCAATACTGTGTACACTCAGGTTCCTCAAATGAAAACTATCATCACTAAGTGAAGGTTCAAGCCCGGAAGGCACCTACACCTATTGCATAGTATTATGTTGCCCATATGTATATTTTCTTTGTCTTTTACTATTTTAAAATTTTAAAATCCTTTGTGGGGGATTGTTATTATTTGAAAGGATTTTAAATTTTAACGTTTTATTTTCTGTTTTAATTTTTTGGCTGTTTTCTTTTATTTATTATGGGAGTTACAAATTGTTTAATTTTCAGTTTTTATTTTCTATTTATTGCCTTAATTTTTCTAATTAAATGTGTCTGGATGTTACAAGTGTTGGATGCCTATAAAAAGGCCACTCCTCCTTCGCATTTCAACACACCACAATTAAATTTCTCTATTCTCATACTCTCATATATTCCCTACTTTCCATATTATTTTTGGGCAACAGTTATGTGATCGGTTCATAATTGTATATCATTTCGCACCCTTCTAGCTTATGATTTGGTTATGTTTTTGAGTTAAACTTGTGCTTTTAATCCTTTTTGTGTTTATCTTTCAGTTCATTGAGCTTTAGGTAACAATGATGGCTTTGGATAGGAAATGATGCCATCCATGCATGTTAAGGCCTGATTTGGGTGAATGGAAGAAGAGCTTAAAGACAAACTAATTTTGGCTACAAACCCTTGCCAGCCCAGTTTCGTAGGTCAACTTCTTGGCCTTGGATCAGCATGTTCTGGGGCTCGGATGTGGTGAAAATCTTCATAAAAGTTGTTCCAATGGGTGTTTACTATAACATATCCAAATTTCAGCCCAATTGAACATATCTGGAGTCCTTAGCCCGTCCAACACTGAACCCTGCTCAGGAGGATTTGCAGCTGCCAGCTTTTAGCCATGTGCCTCCTTTTAGCCATGTGCCTCACCCCAACTATAACTGACTTTGTACCCAACATAATGAGTGAAATAGGGAGGCATTCCAGCTATGAAAGTCTAAAGGAGCAAGTTGGTACATGCTGGAGCTATTAAAGAGAAAGCATGTGCATGCATGTAAAGCATAAATGAAATGAAGTCAATTCCAGTCTCTGTCGGCAGCCAAATTGCAAGGCCCAACACGTACACTTATACTGCTCCGATGGGAATACTTTCTTCATAGA